AGTGAGATCTACTTCTCAATGGCCGCACTCACCGAGAGAGAGAAGGCCATTAAGACTTCTGACTGCCTCTGCAAGAAGACAGCAGTCATTGAACTTTTTAACTGGACTGTACAACAGAAAATAACTGGGACTATGCAACTTTTCTGGTGTGGGCCTATCTTCATGGAGTCACAATTCATTTGCCTTAAATCTTCCATAGTATGGCGTAAATTACATATTTTGTTTATTCAGTTATAGATGTGTTTATTTATCTCTAAAACAATATTGAAAACCATGTTTTCTTGCTTCAAGAGAGTTTACCTCTCCACAGATCTGACCTATAACTTGGCCTGGTTGTGCCCTCTGCTTATATCCATGGAGATCAATTTATTGCTTTTTTTACAAATAATCCTGCTGTTTTTTTGTGAAACCTGATCTGTTTAAAGATCTTCTGAGGACTGGGGTTGCAAATTAACCAAATTAGCCTTAATTAATTGTTAATTTATGTTATATCTGTCCCTGTACAAACAAACAATAAATACATAAATTCAGTATTCAGTAACATCTTTATGGAGACCTTCAACAGAAAAGTTACATAGTGCATCTTTTAAGGAATATCTAATGTGATCTGGCTGTAAAGTTCAAATGCATCAGCAACATCTGACCAGACAGGCTCTACCTGGGGTGGTTGTGTTAATCAGAAAACTGACCTGAATTCCTCAATGAAGCACACATTTAATTCAGTTTATTCCTAACAAGATACCCATATAAAATATATTTCTAACTGACAGTCCAAGTTAGAAATTATTTATCAATCATACAGTAATGATGATTGGTGTCTTGGGTCATGTAATGTATGAAATGTGCGGTGTGAATATGAAATGACTCCCTCACTGCTCCTAATCGGTCTAATCCATTTGCCTAAGCAGCTCTCCCTCTCGGCTCAGCCCCATTCATAGACCCACAGGAGCATGCGTGTATTCTAGTGTCCTCGATCAGATTTGTACCACTAGTAACAGCTTCCTCGTGCCCTTTAAAGCTCCATGTTGCCACGTTGCATCATTTCACACATCTAAAAGAGCAGAGCGAGAGAGCGGGGTGAAAAGTGTGCTTTGTTTGTATGAGAATCTGCTGTGAAGCCTCTAACTTCAAATTCTTCTTCCTTTTTGCTAAATGTTTTATGACTGTTGATGTTTGCAAGAAAGCTGCAAGATGAATCAGACTTGAATCAAAATTTTAATTGGAATGGCGATTGCAGTAACATTAAAGGTCCTATAGTATACAACATGGATTATAGAGAGTTTTAAACCATGTTATAATGCAGCTACCTTCTCAAAATCCTACCCAAAGTTTGTTTCATTCACACATGTTTGAGTAATCCTTTATTATTAGTCTGTTTATATCTCCAAAGCTCAAAATGCTCTGTTCCAACTTGTGATGTCATGTTTTCAAGTTAACAGCTACTCTTTGCATTTAGTTCAATAGACTTTGGCAATCCCATGGTGGAAATTATCCAAGTGATTCTAGTGAAGTTGTATGGAGTTTAAAAACACAATGGAACACTTCCTTTATTACCACATGACAGAAGGTGGAACAGATGTTTTCCATCTGAGAGAAGAACACAATCTAAATTTGCAGGGTTTGTGTGTTAAACATGTGAGAATGAAACAAAACAAAACTCTGAGTATGTTTGTGATGAGGAAACAACATCATAACATAGATTTGAAAATAGCGTAATAGGCTCTATAATGCCTAACAGTTGGACTTTTCAGGCAAAGTAATAATATCTTCATAAACAGAGGTAGCAAACACCCCTTCAGAAAAGTTACATAGTGGACCTTTATTTCAGTTTTCTCACAAATGATAATGCTCATGAAAATGTTTGTGCTGACATTCCAGAGTTTAACATTAATCTAATCACAACTAACATTTTATATTTACAAGCTGTGCACAAAAATATTGAAATATCGATATATTGTATTGTTTAATGTGCTGATACAGTATCGATATCGTGGGCTGCTGTATTGATATATCACCAAGAGGATTGTTTGGTATATTTTACTAAATTGTTTTGTTACAGTGCTACAGTTTTGTTGCTTGTTCAGTGAAAAGAAACTCGTTTATATGACACATTTGACATTTTCACAGTTTGATTATTAAAATATTTGTGTTTCGTATGAACTTTGCACAAGAAGTGGTTTAACAAAGACTAGAAGATTAGAATCACAGCTTCGATTTAGCCTTTTTTTTTTTTATTGAACTATATTGAAATGATTTGAAATATATCGTATCAAATCGAAAGTGCACTGTATCGAGATATGTATCATATCATGGCCTATGTATTGAGGTATGTGTCATATCGGTAACTTCTTAAAGATACTCAGCCCTAATATATACCCTATTTCTTCAGTGCTTGTTCTGAATATATTTAGATGATTAGGTAAGTTTTTGACTGGATTATGTTGAGTGAAAGGTGTCAGACAGAGTTATGTTAAGTCATGCTGAGAGCTTAAGACAGACTGATGTAAGATCCAACTCTATAAGAACCTTGCATAAGAACCTGTAACAGCTTCATATACTAAACTTTGTTATTATACAAAACAGAACTCAGATTTGTCTTAATATCTGTAGAAACCCAATACTATGTCTCTATTAGACTCAAACTGTAGCGTATCTATGACCATGTTTAGAGCCGGCAGCATGCGGCTTGTTTTTGTAGGCAATTTACTCCGCGCTCTTCTCTCCATTCATCATTTGTCACAGCTCAGTCACAGTCTGGAGGTCTAAGCCCGGCGCTGCATGCTTTTCTGACACAGCTCCAGTAACTGCGCTCTCCAGACTCAATGTGATTATGTTAACATGTGTAAACAGGTAAACAAGGCATTGGTGTCGGGCTTGCAAGACATGCTTGTTAGCAACAGTTGTGTTTAGGTGTTTTAAAACAATATTAAATCAGCATTGGACGACCGTGTGAGGCGTTGTGAATGTAAAAAGAAAGGATATAAAATGTGCAAGGAAAAATATATTCAAATAGTAGATATGTGTATGTGTGAAAGGATGTTGCTTAAGTACTGACTGCTACACACTGACATATATTTCACCTTCATTTAGAAGCTCAGACCAGTATACTGTCATTGTATCATTGGGCAAGACACTTTACACTCCTTGTGATGTGATAATACAGGAAGTAATCCATTGTGCTCTGGAATTGTCTGTCTATACTAAACAAAAAGTTAAAAGCTGTTAATATTAAAACTACGGCTTCATGACATCACAAGGTGGAACAGAGCAAATTGAGCTCTGGAGATTTAGACAGACTAATAATAAAGGGTTACTCATACATGTGTGATTGAAACAAAACACAGCTCTAAGTATGTTTTTGATTATAACATGACTTAAAACTCGCAAGAGGACCTTTAAATACAGTGTGTTGTTTTTTGGACGGGTGACTTAAAGAGCTTTTTAAGAGCTTTATTTTGGGAATGGGTGTGATAGCCAGGATCCCTTTGAGGAGAGAGGATTAGGGTGATGTGATGCGTAGTGTCTGAGCCTGGGCACTGGTGTCTGTATGCCCTGTGTCGCTTCATTAGACCAATGTGTTCATCTTCTCTTAAATCATAATGATTTATTGGCAGAGGGTATGCTCAAAAATGTCAAGATTAAGTGTTTTGCATTAATAGAGGAGACTAAATAGCACCATAGTCCAAAATTCTTAACTATAATCCTATACAACCTGGACTTTACACTGGCATCTGTTGCCCGTTGTGTTGTAATTGGGGAGTTCCCTTTTTACAAAACTGTCATATAAGGAGTTTTTTTTTTTTTTTTTTTTTTACTTCTTGCACATTTTTAAAATACATTCACAAATACATAATACATAAACTATTATAAATATGTAGTAGTAACTGATCAAATATGACTGCTCAATAAGTGGCATGTATGTTTCACAAAATGCATAAGATAAAATTATCCAAATTCTATCCTTGTGCTGCTTTAACAAGCTCAAACAGACATAGATTTTTATTGTCGCCTTATATTGTTTAGCTAAAAGAAAAGTTGCATATGTTTTGAGCTGCATTCACTGGATACATCTGGCTTTGTTGGTGGGCCTGAATGTGTGTCAGTGCAGTGCAGTGGAGCTAACTGGAGCAGAGACGCGTGAAGATGCTAACACACCACCTCCTCTTCTCCTCTCTCATCTGCTCCTCTCTGCTCTGCCCCTCTGCTCTTCTGCTTCTCCTCTGCTCCTCTGCTCTTCTGCTCCTCTGATCCGCTCTCATCTGCTCCTCTTTGCTCTGCTCCTCTGCTCTTCTGCTCCTCTCTGCTCTGGTCCTCTTTGCTTCTGCGCCTCTGGTCCTTTCTCATCTGCTCTTCTGCTCTTCTGCTTCTCTGTGCTCTGGTCCTCTTTACTTCTGCTCCTCTGGTCCTTTCTTATCTGCTCCTCTTCTCCTCTCTCCTTTGGTCCTCTGCTCCTCTCTGCTCCTGTGCTCCTCTACTCCTTCTCTGCTCCTCTACTCTTCTGTTCCTCTGCTCCCCTCTCCTTTGCTCCTCTGCTCCCCTCCTCCCCTCTGAGCCTGTGGAAGTGAGGCATCCATGACTCAGCTTCATCTGTCCTCTGGATACATGTGTTTACGTGCAGTGTGTGAGTGTGACTGAGGCGAGCAGCAGGACGAGACAGCCTCTTCATTGTATGACTGTATGACTGTTGTCCATTTCAACAAAGTCCAGTGATCATGAGACATGCAAAGCCCTAACGGTGCAATGGAGTGGTTTCAGTCAGTAATTGGGCTGATCTAGAGTAGACTAGACTTCATTGTTTCTGACATTTGACCCATTTGTGAGCCACATACGCCAGTGTCAAGTCCAGGTAACGTGACAATTCTCTGATAACTATTTTTAAGGAAATTTAAACATTTCTATGGCTCAAAGTAGTTAAGTAGCTAAGTAGTTAAACCTCTATTGCCTTCTTGGACTTAAATCCAAATATATACTGATTATCTCATGTCTTGTGTGTTGTGCAGGTCTATCTGGCCAATGCCGAGGCCGCCATGGAGAGCTGTTGGCGGTAGCAGCTGCAGCAGTCGCATGTGTGTGAGCACCCGGCCCATGCCCCGCCCATAATGCCATCCTCCACCAGGAAAGGCGCGCCGAAGGACCCCGAGCTGTCCGAGCTGTTCTTCAAAGATGACCCTGAGGACGTCTTCTGTGACCTGCACGAGATCGGCCATGGGAGCTTCGGGGCGGTGTACTTTGTAAGTGATGCGACTAAAGGCTAAAACATGAGTGGGTAGTGGGCAGGACAAGACACAATTTCCACAAGATGGGACACGAGATTGGGTCCACGAGAACGAGATAAAATGAGATAAAACGAGATCTTAACATAAAATACATCGTGTGAGATCTTTTCTCTGCACTAGTGGTTAATGGTTACTGTGGTCTTTTAAATTAACCCCACTATTGCAGGATCATTGAAAAAAAAAAAAAAAAAAAAAGAACATAGTAAAACATTTAAAATTGGCTAGAAAGGCATGTTTGTATTGGCCTATCAAATTCTTGAACAAGTTGACCCATTCCTTGTAATAGGCTACAGACTAATTTCATGAGATCACACACCAGAACCAGGTGCTGACTACTTAGAACTCTTATTGCAGTCGATATATTTATCACTGTTAGTTAGCTCTGATTCAGAGATTTCTACACACGTGGTCTTTTTCTTCAGACTGGCCAATCATCATAAATTCGAGCCATATTTCTGACGGCGCTTTTTGTGCACCCTGTCATAGTAATCTCATCATCACTAATTACTCCTGCAGCCTTTGATTCTATGTGAAGAGAAGACTTGTACTCTGCGTGTCCCTCTTTATCTGCCTCTCTGCCCCAATGCCCCAGTGCCCCTCCCCTCCAGATGTAGAGCTGAACTGGGGGGTGTTAAGCCAGCTGCTCGCACTTGTGAAAACGGTCACTATAAAGCAGGATTTTCTGGGCGGACAGAGCTCCAGTCTTCCCTGTTCTATATTTACAGTCAGAAGTATTACGTGTATGTTACTGTCAAATATAGGTGTGTCGAGTATCATGCCATTGGTAATATTGTGAATGTTGTTTTGACAATATGCAAAAATAGTGTATATATAATAATGATCTTATTATATAATATATTAATATTATATAGTATAATATTATATAGTATATAATAATGCTGCAGTAAGAGCTGAAAATAAAAGTTGAAAAGAAATTAAGCTATAACGTTCCAAATAATTAAAATGACCTCACATTTGGTATGATATTTAATCTGTTAATATATTTAAAGACATGTTTGTTGGATTGACGTAATATCATCTGAATATTGAGATAGGATACTCCCAAAAAATTACATTATTTTTTTGTCAATATTGCACACCCTTACCATCAAATATCATTAATAGCCCCATTGCACATTGTCTGTCTGGGTCTCTGTGCAATTCCTACAGCAGTGCAAGTCCTGGGTGCATGACATACTTGTATTATCTCTGCTCATAAAGTTAACCTGCTAGCTCTGACTGCTAACCAGAAAGATCTCTGCACATGTCGAGTTGAACCTGTCTGCTCCATAAAAAGCTGGTGACTGTACTATGGTGTACATTTGGCTAAAGGGAAGCTCATCGCACCATGACGCCACCGAAGAACTGTTTTCTGTATTTACGTTTTAACGTCTTTGTGCACATGTTAATGCTAACATCAAGTCCCTCGGGCTAATAGCTCTATATTTATCAGGTCTTTGATTTATTATCATCATCTGTAAATGTCTGTAGTGCTAATTCACTGCATTCTAGCTGCAGGTTAATTGCATGTTTGGAGGGTAGAGCTCAGTTGTAAGGGCTGTTTATTACTTTGTAACAATAATCACATTCAAAGACATGCAGATGTATGCACGTTCATGCTTTGGTTAATGCTTGTGGGGACTTGGTCCATTATAAAATAGTTCAGGGGGAAATCCTGCTGAGCACATGGGCCCATTACCTGAGGCTTTGAACACACATCTCCATAGTGAATACAGAACAGATGAGGTTTTGTAATTATTGGTCCAACTTTGTAAAGAGAGTTCAGCTTTTAATGTTTTAGTGTATCAGAATATTGAGTCTCCATTGCAGCTCTACAGTAAACCAGAGGGAGCTACGGCTCTGCTTGTACTGACAGGCAATCACTGGGATCAAATGAAACTGGAAAAGAGACAACTGGGAATGCTGCGTAGCGTGCAGTGAGTGTAATTCCATCTGAACCTCGACATGAATTGCGATTCATTTGTAAGTGGGATGAGGCTGGGTTAAGGGCTTAGCTGAGCTGCAGTGTAGTTGTCCCAAAGGCCAGATACTCCTGAGGGTAAACTCAGGCTTTAACATGGGCCTGTGGATATGTAGAAGATGATGATTCAAATGCTCACAGAAGCTGCAGACTAACCACACCACTGCAGCCCCAGCAGTAAATAACACAGTGCTTTGATCATGCAGAAATTAGTTCAAATTCAAATAAGAGGATCTGTTACTGTTGTGTCATGCTAATACCGGCTGTTGTGAGCGTGCAGTGAATCACACAGCAGCTCAGTGCACAAAAGTGAAATATATTATACATTGTCTTGACTGTTATTAATTCAAATTTGTTCTGTGTTTTGTTTTCAGGCCCGTAACTCGTACTCCAATGAGGTGGTGGCCATCAAAAAGATGTCCTATAATGGCAAGCAGACAACCGAAGTAAGAAAAAAACAAAAACCAAACAGTTGTGTAGCGAACTGACAAGCCCTGTGTACTTTATGTAGGCCAGACAGAGAGGAATGACTATTTATAACACTTTAAAGCAGTAACTGTTCTAGTGACAGACAATGAGAAATAGACCGATTGTTTTGCTCTTCTAATCTGACCATATTGTCTTTATTTTTTTATCTTATTTACAACACTTTTGTGAGTATTGACAATGGCAATTAAAGGCACCATATCACTCTATTTTCTGAGCTATGTTGTAATGTTTAACACACAAACCCTGCATATTTAGGCTGAGTTCTCCTCTTCAACAAAAAACACTCTATCCCACCTCATGATGTCATGTGGTAATACAGGAAGTCTCCCCTGCGTTTTTAAATTCCATACACCTTTCACTAGAATCTGGATAATTTCAGCCCTGGAATTGCCAGTCTCTACTAGCCGTTATCTTGAAAACTATCACTACATGATGTCAAAAGGTGGGACAGAGCATTTTGAGCTTTGGAGATGCAAACGGACTAATAATGCAGGACTACCCAAACATGTCTTGGAATGAAACAAAACACAACTCTGGGCATGTTTTTGATGAGGTAACAATATTATAACAAGGCTGAAAGAGTCAATTTTGTGTAATATAGGACCTTTAAGCATTTCAGATTCTCAAATGTAGCTTTTTATGATATATCCTCTTGATCATTGGTGGTCTGACTGTGTTTTGTGTGTTTCTGCAGAAGTGGCAGGACATCATTAAGGAGGTCAAGTTTTTGGGACAGCTGCGACACCCAAACACCATTGAATACAAAGGCTGCTACTTAAAAGACAACACTGCCTGGGTCAGTACTGATTTCCACTATGACTCGTTATGTGAATGAGACTTAGATATAACTTTTTCTAATGGAGCCAGTACCTGCTTGTCTTCATGGGGGATGGCAATTTTCCACAGTATGGCATTAAACATCTACAGTATCTGGATGGATGGAGTATCTTGCATTTAGTCAAGTGCAGTTTTTTTTCGTTTTTGTTTTTTGTTTTTAATAAGAATTACGTACGCTTTTATTGTGAGTGGGCTTGCCTCTCCGTATTTATGACCTGTAATTTGGCCTGGTGATGTCACCTGCTTGTCTCTCTGGAGATCATTAAATTTGAGGCGGCATATTGCGGAACATTTCAGACAAAGACAAAGCAATAGCAATAGCCTAATGAAATAAATCTGTTCTTTCAGCTGGTGATGGAGTACTGTTTGGGCTCTGCATCAGATCTGTTAGAAGGTAAGTCTGTTATACAAGAAAAACACTAGTGACAAAAACTATTAAAAAGATTATTTGAGCAATAACACATTTGTAACAGCACTTTGCCCTTCCAGTATCTCAGAACATATTACGTAACTTGTAAACATTTTTTGTTTTTCTCTACAAGTTCACAAGAAACCACTGCAAGAGGTGGAAATTGCTGCCATTTCCCATGGTGCCTTGCTTGGACTGGCTTATCTACATTCCCATAACATGATTCACAGGTGAGATTTTCTTGCTTCCTTATGGAACATTTACAACTTTACATACTGTTCAGATATCAGACTACTGGGTTGTGGCATTAGTTGTATAAAATATATTTTCAGTAGTATTTCTATTGCATATTTATGTAGTTCAAACCTTCTAATAAAAGTTTTACAGAAGTTGACGCCAGCCTAGACATTGAAACAGAGGTTTATTATATATAGTGTCTTCCATAGAGTTAAGGCTATGGTAGCATATATATTTTTTTATATTAATATTTTATATTTAATATTTTTCTCTTATAGCTACTTATGTAGGTTTTCTAGCAATACAATGAGCAACAAATTTCATTTAGTTTTGTCAAAGTATCAACGACCAAGTTGAATTTCATCATAGTCTCCTATATGAAAGCTTTTAGCCATGTTAGAACGTTGTTACCATTTCAAAAACACACCAGGAGTTGACTTTTGTTTCATTTACACATGTTTGAGTAACCCTTTATTATTAGTTTGTCTACATCTCCAAAGCTCAAAATGCTCTGTTCCACCTTGTGATGTCATTAAGCGGTATTTTTTTTTATGTTAACAGCTACATTTTATTGTTCAGTAGAGATTGGCAATTCCAGATTTGAAATTATCCATATAATTCTAGTGAAGGTGTATGGAGTTTAAAAACATATTGGGGCACTTCCTGTATTACCGCATGACATCACAAGGTGGAACAGAGTGTTTTCCATGTGAGAGAAGAACATGTGTGAATGAAGCAAAACAAAATTCTAGGTATGTTTTTAATGATAACATAGATCAGAAAGTAGCATAGTATGGCACTTTTACTGATATTTAAAGACCTTCCATTTAAATCTATATGTCTGTTATTGTATTATTGTATCTTTGGTCTGTTCTTATCCAGAGACATTAAAGCCGGGAACATCCTGCTGACTGAGCTGGGTCAGGTCAAACTCGCCGACTTTGGCTCCGCCTCTATTGTTTCACCTGCCAACTCCTTTGTGGGAACACCTTACTGGTCAGTGCACAACGTAACACAGGAATCGATGGTTAGGTGGGAGTGGGATCTATCTCTCACAGAAAACGCTATGTTTTCAGTATGCACACACATTTTTTTTACTCTTTGACTGTTTGACTTGTTGACCTTGCAATGAAATCAATGTTGAATAAATACTAAATAAATGAATAAAAAAGGTGTAAACTTTATACAAGTATACACGGCATATATTGGGTCTTAAAGGTGCACTATGGAACTTTTCTCTTGGGGTCTCTTACCTGTTTCATGCCAATGTAAACACATCTATCTAGCTTTTCTTTTTTTTTTCATGATATATTCTCACTAAGAGCATGCTTGTCTCTGGGAGGATGTATGAGTTTAATTATTTACTTTTAAATATTCTTTGCAAACTACTACAACAAGAAGGTGATGGACCACTCATCAGAAAAGTTACACAGTGCACCTTTAAGAAAATGTGTTGCTCTTTTTTTATTGGCCTTTTAGGACAGATATTATTTTATACTGTATCATGAAAGCTTTGTTTATTCATTTCAAAATAAGGTTGTTAATGGAAATTGGTGCCCATAATTTCACAAACAAACTAGTGTTCACATTTTCCGAATCCACAAAACATTTTGTTCTAGGCGTTATCACTGAGTAGCAGACCCATTAGAAGCTCCGAGAGGCTTAGCAGATTATAACATGTTTTTTCCATAGTTAATAAAGTGCATGCATTTTCATATTCCAGGATGGCCCCAGAAGTAATCCTAGCCATGGATGAGGGGCAGTATGAAGGGAAGGTTGATATCTGGTCCCTTGGGATCACTTGTATTGAGTTGGGTGAGTATTAGACAAACTAAAAAAACTATTTATTTCCACTGTCATAAAACAAGTCTCTAATGATTTGTTATATTTGTGTGTTGATCCAGCGGAGAGGAAACCACCCTTGTTCAACATGAATGCCATGAGTGCCTTATATCACATTGCCCAGAATGACTCTCCAACTCTGCAGTCCAATGAGTGGTGAGTTTTCCCAAAGTCAAAAACAAAACAATCAAAATCAAATAATACACATGCATAGAAGTGGGCTATGACATGGGTTAAGTGGACAAACATTGAGAACAGAGACCATGAGACCAAAGAGATATGACATCACAAGTTGGAATAAAGCATTTTGAGTTTTGGAGATGTAGACGGACTAATAATCCAGGTTAACTCAAATGTGAGAATGAAACAAAACACAACCCCAGCTATGTTTTTTATGAGGCAGCAACATTCAAAAAGGAGTCTTGAAGGAGTCAAGGACCAAGGATCAAGTTAAGTCGGAGTAAAAAAGAAAAAAACACTACTACTACTAAGCAAATAATTTGGGGAAAAATAAACAAAATCAAATGTACTGTATGCTATAAAAATATTAAAAGTACAAGTTGAAGCATGTCTTTGGGTGAGTTCACACTTCAACAAACACTGCGCCACAAGTCGGACTAAACTGACACTAATTCGTGAACTAAACCAGGACTAGACTAGGACTAAACCTGGACAAGAACAGGACCAAATCAAGTCTACATCAGGACTAAGCCAGGAGCAAAGAAGGCAAGTCTGAACACGCTCTTATTCTTATTCAGTAACTTTCATTTTTGTTGTATAATAATAAGATATATTACTCAGCAGTGGTTAGTACTGTACTAACTGGGTAAAAGGGATGAAACAATAGTCCTATGTCCCGTCCACAGAGCACCACAGCCAGGTTAAGACTTTGTTGTGATAATCTGCAAAGTGTGACTGCAGCACCCAGGCCTGCTCAAGGTCACAGTCTAAGCCCATTATGTAATTAAATGGGAAACCTCCTCCTGTATACCAGCAATGTCTCTGTGGGTGCTTATTTCTGCTGATTTACTTTATTTTTGACATTAAACTAGACCCAATATTTATGTTGTGTTTCTATTTTTTATTCCCCTTTTCTCCCCCCACCAACAGCTTAAACATATTAAGTACAGTAGACAAATACAAACTTTCATTAAATTAATGGGCCATAGTAGAATAAAGTAAAATGTGTCTGCTGTTTTCTAATATAATATAATCAATCATTGTTTGCATGATAGGCCTGATCGGTGTTGATTTTTAATAACCAAAATGTTGCAGATTGAAATCCTTCATCACCACTTTTGTTCCTCAAACTTTTTAGATGCGTCCTCCGGAGGTTGCCCTAATTTATGCAACCTCATTAACAGATTTCTGCAGAATCAGAACTACTTTATGTTGGCAAGATAAAAGGTGCACCATGTAACTTTTCTGGTTTCTGCTGAATGGTCTCGTTGTCATGATAGAGATTTTCCGCAGTATGGCATTAAAGTTGCCTTTCTCCAAAGAGACATGCAGTTCAACCTCCAAGGCCAACTGACAGGTCCAATCAGTGGAGCTCAGTATAAGAAGGCAAGGTGTTTTGAGCAATAACAACATAACATACTTTGAAACTTTACAGACAAAGCATCTCCACAGAGACAAGCAGGTTGCGGACCCCCCGCCTGAATATTTACATAATGCACCTTTAAGGTTTAAGTTTAGCTGAAGTTGCTGTAAATCTTTGCTGACAATCTACACTAGTGAATGTACTGTTCTGTGAATACACTGTAATGTGATGAATCATTTGGATAATTCCAGCCCTGGAATTTTCCATCTCTATTGAACTAAAACTACTGCTTCATGACATCACAAGGTGGAACAGAGCATTTTGAGCTTTGGAGATGTTGCCATATTGATAATACAGGATTACTCAAACGTGTGACTGAAACAAAACACAGTACATTGGGCAAAACAGGATTTGTATGTGCACCACAGACGAGTAGTAGCATGTGGCTCCTCTGCTGCTGCAGTTTTACCTGGAGGCACTGTCGACCTTTCTTTACTGTCTTCCGAATACTCGTTTAAATGACATATTCAGCACCTCTGCACCTGAGTGGAACAAACCTGGAGACTGAAATAAGGGCGCTGTAAAATTAGCTTTTGTTTGTAGCACTGTGCACAAGGCGGTGATTACATTCAGAGTTATTTTTGGAGTTTTTCCAGCAGCCCAGGGCATCAGTTATATTCTGCCAGATGAGGCGAAGCTAAGAGTAGTACCATTTTGCAGCTATTCTCATGAGAAACTAAAAATGCAAGATTGTCTTCAAATATTGATCTTACATTGACCCAGTTGTTTTAAAGGGCTCATATACACTATTTTCTGATCTATGTTGTAATGTTTCCTCGTCACAAACAGACCTGGAGTTGTGTTTTGTTTCATTCGCACATGTTTAACACACAAACTCTGCATATTTAGTATTCTTCTCTCAGTCAGAAAATACTCTGAATGTAGGTAAACTTCAGTGTAGGTAAAAGACTGTAAACTTGAAAACTACAACTTAATGACATCACAAGGTGGAACAGAGCATTCTGAGCTTTGGAGATGTAGACAGACTACTAATGCAAGATTACTGTGTGAATGAAACAAAACACAACTCCAGGTATGTTTTGATGGGTAAACAACATTAGACAATGGCTTAAAGCTCACAGGAGGCAATTTTACGTAATATATGATCCTTAAATTTATATACAGTCAGAGGATGTCTCATTTGCAGTTGTGGGAAGTAGCTGAAAACTTGTACCAAGAATATGAATCTGAATATTAATTTTGAGTAACTGTATTCAGGTAATTACTTTTGACTTGGTGATATTCAGGATACAGTTACTTTTCTAAAATCAAAGGAATACATGGCGGTACTTCAAGTGAAGTAGCCATGTAAAGCCATGAAAGCATATTTTTAGCTTTACAGTCAGTAGCACAGTGTTCCACAGCTCTACTGGCCTATATTCTTATTGCTCTACATATTTACGTAATCTATGGGCTCTATACATTAATCCACATTATAAGATTACATACAGATCCTGCTGTTTAATATGCTGATATATAAACAAAGATGTGATTAGTCATGTAGGATTAAAGTGAGAGCCATCTGTTTGACTGTCTGCTGTCAATACTGCTTTTATAGTTGAATTGTCAGTGTTGGAGAAAATACTTTAAAGTACTTTTTTATTACACAAAAGCGAATCTTGTGAGATTCAGGCCATGTAATAATGCTGTTTTGTTTCATTCACACATTTTAATCATTTTTTATTAGTCTCTCTACATCTCCAAAGATAAAAATAGTTCTACCTTGTGATGTCATGAAGTGGTAGTTTTCATAGCTACCTTTTACTGTACCAGAATACAGTTTGGTACATGTGTTTGGCCCTCTTGAGCCCCGTTTAATTTTGATAATGTAGACATGGGGTAATACTGTTTGAAATATGAACACATTCAGAGTTACTTCCCAAGACTGTATGTAGCATATTTTTATACACTTTCACTAGAATCATTTGGATAATTTCAGCCCTGGAACTGCCAATCTCTACTGAACTAAGAGTAAAATGTAAGATGTTAACTGGAAAGCAACCCCTTCATGACATCACAAGGTGGAACAGAGCATTTTATGGAGTCACTGTGGTTCAGTTGTGGTTTAGTCTTGGTTTAGTCCTGCTTTAGTGCTGGTTCAGTCCCGGTTTAGTCCTCCTGGTTCAGTCCTGGGACAAGTCCTGGTTCAGTCCGTATGTGAGGCAAAAGTCCGGCATCTCGATCAGTGTTTCTTCTGCTCAATAATAATAATCCCTGTGAAGTGATGATGTATTTTTGACAGCAAAGTCATGTCTGTAAATTTGTATTTGTTCTGAATAA